TGGGACTTGGAGCCCCCTGAACTCATAGAGGGGGATCTAGTCGAGCTCACGATCCCCGGGCGCAACATTCGACACGTTGACGGCCAGTTTGCGTGGAGGTCCATAATCATGTCCGAGGACGTGTGGCTTTGGACGTACAGAGAGCATTGGCCGGGGCAAGGAGTGGGCGTAGTGAGAGCCTAYTTGTATTTGGGACCGGGTGCTGTCAGGGAGGCCGTGGTGGGCCTCGCGACGACAGGGACTGGTGGCACAGTTAGCAAGGCGTTACGTAACCTAGGGGAAGAGGTAGCTGCCTTCCGAGCGGAGGACTCGAGCGACTCACGGACGCCCTCCTCTTGATATCACGGGCAAGCTGGTGGTAGCACGGGACGGGTTTTTCCCGTACAACGTTAGGAGCCTGCGGGCGATAGTTCCGACGTTCGTAGTAGAGGGCGACTTTGGATGGCAGTAGGAGGGCCTTTAGCGGGCTAACCGATTCAGGACAGGGTTAGGAGAACTAGCAAGAAGGACGGAGATAGACGCTCGGAGACTCTTGAGGGGTGTTGATCGGGAGACATTGGCTAGGTTTGGGACTGCGATCTGTCTCAAGGATAGAGGTCCTGTCACGGGTGTACTACAGATCCGGAGAGGCATGGCCTTGTTGGCCGATCCCGAAGGCGAGGTTTACTTAGACACAGGGATTCTTGGGATAGAGGGAGAGCACGAGATCCGCGACCGGTACGGGATACTGGAAGTGGTAATCAAGGCAGTCGAGAGCTAAGATTGGAGGCGGACGCGAGCCGTSACAAGGAAACAGGTCCGGGCTGCCGCAACTGTCACAGGTCCGGGCTGCAGCGACTGTCATAGGGTCGGGCTGTAACAGTTGGCTAGAATACCTAACTGCGTCTTCTGGCGGTCCAATGGAACCCGACACTATGGGGCCACAACCGACCACGGGCGAAGCGGGAGAGGAGTACAGGACATCGCTCAATCGAGCTCTGAGAGATCTGAAGGAACGAATTAGGCGAGAAGCACCGCTGAGATGGACTGACCAAACCAATGACGGAGGGCCCGACGTAAGGGGCGGACCAGTTGCGACAGAGCCGCAGGAGATTCTAAAGACGGGTACCTCGAGCGGACGACGAGAAGCGACGAGGCGACGCTCCCCCGAGTACGAGCGGAGGGACACCATAGTGGACAGGCACAGAGACAACTGGAGAGAGAGTTTGAGGGATTCCTATTGGAGGGACAGAGATAGAGACAGGGCGCCGCTCAGGCGAGTCTTCGACCCCCAGACAGGGGAGTCACATCCGCTCCCTTACGAGAGCAAGGATCGCTATATTATTACGCACAAGGCCTCAGAGCCTCCTACCTTCAGGGGCTATGGTATCATAGAATATCTGGAGAAGTGGGAGCTTCACGCCAACCGGAGTCAGTGGTCGGAGGAAGAGATTATAGAGAACTTCCTATTTATTATGGACCCAAGTCTCGGTAGGGAAGTTAAGGAAGCTCGACCGAAGGATGAAAAATGGACTACGTACAAGAAGAGTCTCGTTGAGCTTTAGAAATTGGAGGATAACAAGTATTCCATCAAGGACCTTGAGACAATGACTCAAGATGAAGATGAGAGCGTACGGGCATTTGGGATGCGTTTCCAGAAGATCTCCGACGTGCTGATGAAGAATGGTAAGATCTCAGAGGTCGAGCGCTGTACTATCTTCATCGGACACTTGTCCAAAGGTAGGCAAAAGAGTATACTTCGAGATCTTCCGCGCGACAGGCTTGATTTCCCAGAAGTCCTAAAGCTCGCGATAAAGGCNCTAAAGCTCGCGATAAAGGCAGAGGCAGACGATTACAAGGACTTGGTGTGGAGAGGGATGAGGAGACGTGACTTCTCTCTCTACAAGGAGTACGCCACTAATAGATGTCCTGATTTCAAGGACTATCCCTGGTTGGAGAAGAATGAGGCCGTGGCTGAGGAAGTGAAGGAGATACGGGACATGGTGAAGGGATTGACGAGACAGGTTACAGAGATTGTGACCACTACAGTGGCCACGGCCTACCGGGACAAACCTAGAGAGCCCTATTCACTTCGCTGGGACCGTAGGAACAACGATTCCTGGAGAAGTGTCGAGGATAGAAATCCTCGGACGCTGAATGATTATCGTACGAGGGGAAGAGAGAGAGACGATGAGCCATGGCGACGTAGGGACGATGAGATAGACCGAGACCGCAGAGATCGCGAGCCGTTTGCGCGAGCAAGGAGGCTGGATGATTACCCACGAAGCCCTCGCTATGAGGCCGATCGGGGTAGAGGCGACTCCCGCGGCCGATGGGAGACAGATCAGGGCCGACGAAATGGATATAGGGACGAAAGATACGAGAGATTGGACCTAGATGGATATAGGGACGACAGATACGAGAGATCGGACCGAGACGGATATAGGGACGACAGATACGACAGGCCGGGTCGAGATGGCTACAGAGGTGGTAGGTATGAAAGAGGAGATCGAGACTGGGAACGACGAGATGGGTCGCGCGGACGGTTTGAGCGCGGGGGAGATGCGAGAGAGCAGCGCGACGAGTCATGCGGGTGGTACAACCGAGGGGACCGACGCGATGAGTCACGAGGGCGATATGACTCAGGGGACCGCCGGAATGATTCGCGAGGGCGATATGAGCAAGGAGGGTCTGGAGGAGACCGCCGCAACGATTCGCGCGGTCGGAATGAGAGAGGGGGATATGGCGTCTCATCAGAATCATATCCCAAGTCGCCTGACCCCAAGGCAACCAGGAGTTCGATCTCGAGAAGCGCAGACGACAGGCCATCTACTCCCAGGAACTCATGCGTCTACTGTAGAGGAGAAGATCATATCAAAAGGGATTGCCCGAACCTCAAACGGGCAATAGATGAGGGACTTGTCATGCTTGACGACCGCAAGTACGTCAAGTGGGCAGATGGTCTGGGAGAGGTATCGATGTTCCCTTCGATGAAGGAGAATGTCGAAGCAAGGAGAGTAAAGTCGAGTAAAGAAAAGGAGCTGATCAGGAGTCAGAGCATCAAGATAACCTTTGAGGGGGATATGGCGACCACACCCATAAGGGTGGCAGCCACCAAGTCGACGAGAGGGTCTACATCGAAGAAGACTGACATGGATTACGTGATGGCGGAGAAGGACGGGCAGCGGGTCGATGGAGAGGAGGTTATCCTTTCGCCGCGAAAGAGGGGAGTGAAGAAGTTCTTAATGAAGAGTTCGCTGGACGAGATTGACACGGTCGAGCCACTGAGGCGGGCCCTTCGGCAACCCATGCAGTGCTCTATTCTGGAGTACCTGGCGGCATCGAAGCCGGCTCGTGAAGAGTTACAGATGATCACGCGGAAGACTCGCATACCTCTATCGGAGGAGGGTCAGGGGGGCCCTAAGGCGGAAGCTTCTCCAGTAGAAGTAACGGGGGTGACTGCCAGAGCGGATCGCATGGCGACAGTCCTTCTCGATGGAATGGAAGGTGTGCCTCCAGACAAGTTTTATATACTTGGTAGCGGAGCCGTGGAGACGATTATAAATGATGGAGCGATACTCGATGCTGTGATCGATAACGGCAATGAGGCTGTCATCATAGACGAGGACCTGGCAGTACAGGTTGGACTGGGCCTCGATAGGTCATACCTATTCGAGATAGAGACGGTTGATGGGAGAAAGCAACAGATCACTGGGGTTTGTCACAAGGCAGCCATAGAGGTCAAAGGGGTACGAGTGACCCTGCCTGTCTTTGCAGTCAAGAACTGCAGCTCCGACTTGCTCTTGGGTCGAACGTGGCTGAGCCACGTGCATGCGGTGACAATAGAGCGACCTGATGGGAGTCAAACATTGTCCATTAGGAAGCCAGACGGGACGCGGGTAATGATTGAGACAGTGGAGCCTCGGGACCCGAGGAACAGAGCAGCTCTCGCTGTGGGTGCGAGACCCAGTGATCAGATTAAGTCGTTACCTATCTCCAGCACCGCGGTGCAATTTCGCGAGAAGAAATATTGACCACTGCTCACAGAGGAAGAAGGTCGGATCGTGGAGGTGGAAGATTTAGGGAGTCGGCTAACAGTGGACGGCAACTCGTACCCAAAGGAAAAARATGAGGAATTTGGCGGTGTGGTATCCATGTTTTTTTTAAGGGCACGGCCCCTTATGGGCGGCTACCCAAGCGACACAAGCGAGTAGCTCAAAAAGTTAAGCCAGCGGCGGTGGACCACGAGCGATCTGCACTGGAAGGGATATCGGAAGAAGAGATCGCGAAAGAAATCAAAGAAAGAAAGAGAAAGGGGCCGCAACGCCTAACGGAAGAGAGGATAGCAGGGATGGACATTGGAGATAGGAATTTGACCCCACAGGAGCGAGAACGTGTGATAAAAATCCTGAAGACATATGATAAGGCCATAGCTTTTAGTAACGCGGAGCGCGGTAGGGTTGACCCTCGATACGCTAAGCCAGCAAGGATTTACACGATACCACATGTTCCTTGGAATGACGCGGGATGGAAATACGCCCAGAAGGAGAAGGAAGAAGTTATCGCTTTTCTGAAAGAAAAGTTGACCATTGCACGATGGTTAATACGGCTATACCTGACGGGAGAGGAGAGTCAAGATTTAGATATCCGGAGACAAGCAGCCCAGTACTGCCTTAGAGCGGGCCACCTTTTCCGAAGGCCAGTAGGGTCGGGGATGCYCTTACGAGTAGTCTGTGATCCTGAAGAGAGACAGACGATAGTAGCGGAGCTTCACGACGGGGTGGTCGGAGGACATAGAGGAGTCAGAGGGACCTACGAAAAAGTACGCAGGCTGTACTCGTGGGAAGGACAGTATAAGGACGTCGAGAGATATTATATGACATGCGAAGAATGCCAGAAAATTCTTATGAAATATAAAGAGTCACTTCATCCATCCTATCCAACCCGACCAGAAGAGAAGGTACACATCGATCTGGTGAAGATGTCGAAAGGGGTAGGCAATATGAACTATGTTGTGAATATACGAAACGACTTAACGGGGTTCATGGACGGTAGACCTATCAGGAATAAGACGGCAAGGGAAGTGAAGAACTTCGTCCTAGAGTACTTATCTAGGTATGGTTGTGTCAGCAAGATAGTGATGGACAGAGGAGCGAAATTCCTGGCTCACGAGGTTCAGAATGTATTCAAGAGAGCTGGGGCGAGAGTTTCGATAGTCACTGCCTACCACACACATTCGAACTCCCCAGTAGAGAGAGGGCACCAGACCCTAATAGCGTCGCTATCTAAGTGGTGCAAAGGCAAGGACAATGATTGACCACGATATTTTCGATACGCAATTTGGGCGGACAACGTCACGGTCCGGGCTAGCACAGGATACCCTCCATACACCTTGTGGTTTGGGCGGCATTGTCCGCTTCCCATAGAGTTTCACGTCGACAGCTGGACAACCGTCGACTAGGCGGAGGAGATGTCCAGAGAGGAACTCATAGCTGTCCGAACAAGACAGATAGCCTACGGTTTGAAAGATAACCTTATGACAGCGGCAGATCGTCTGGCAGTGGAAAGAGACAAAGGTAAAGAGAGATGGGATAAGAACGTGAGAATCAGGAAGGAGAGGGTGAGTGTAGGAGATATGGTCCTTCTCTACGATGCAGCGCTGGAAAGAACCTGGACCGGAAAACTCGCCAACAGATGGATGGGACCTTACAAAGTGGTTGAGGCACTCGACTGGGGTGCATATATGATAGCAGAATTAGACGGATCAAAGTGGAAGGACCCAGTGGCGGGTGCTAGGTTAAAGCTGTTTAGGCCCAGACCCGCACCCATCTTATCGCTGACAAGCCCGCAAGGGAAAGGGAAGGTCAAAATAAAGGATGGAACCATCTCGAGACGATATGAGACGGGAGAGAGTTCCAAAAAGAGGAAGAGGGTAGAAAAAACAAAGGTCAAAGGATTGGCGATAGGGAAGAGGAAGAAATGGTTATTCATGCTTAGGAGAGTCAGACGGAGAGTTCACATTAGACGAGCTGATGAGTCGGCACCTTTTTCGGACCAACATCAGAAGAAAAAGAGAATCCTACCAAGACCAAAATTCCGAAGGAAGAGGAAAGTCAAGAAGCATCTTCTTAGCCCTGGAACTAATAACAAACTGAAACATAAGACAATTAAACGCCGACGTGGCCGACCTTTACGGACAATCACCCTGAAACTCGTCCGCTTCATTTGACGCAACTGGATAGGGCTCGCAGGGGCGTCGAGAAGTGGTCCGAGCTAACTGTCAGGCGGCCACGAGCAGTGCGCCGCCTGAAATCTGCGATTTCGGGACTTAGGCTCGGGGACAAGTCCGTGTTTTGACGGTACTCTGGTATGACCAGGCAACAAAAATTAGGGGAACTCAGGGCACCCCTGATTTTGGACGAACTGAA